TTTCTTGGTGTGCGAAGATTGAACTTTTAGTTCTTCGTGTCTCTTTTCTTTTTTTAAAAACCTGAATATTTTATTTTAACGTTAATTCGTATTTTTCTAATGAAGCACGGCACTTTCGACTCGAAGTCACTAGTTGAAATGGATGCACGACATTTACGTGTGGTTCGCGTGGTACTAGATAGTACCTTTCTCTAAAGAACCTACTTATTCCATGCTGCACGCTGAGAGGAATTTCGCCTGTAAAGCAGCTGGGCTGCAGTGGAATTAGTCTTTCTCACGAAAGAGGTACATAGCTGGTACATTCCATCGAGTAAAATTAGGCCAAACTTGGCAATTCCGTACTGGAGGGGTGCTAGAGGGAAAAGCGAGTTGAACCGTTTAGAGACGTTAGACGTCCCTGCTATTTTCCATCGCCGTTCCGTAAAGAATTCAAGGTTTCTAGTGAATTCAATTTGTCGACGGTGATATTCAGGAGGGGTGCTAGAGGGAAAAGCGAGTTGAACCGTTTAGAGACGTTAGACGTCCCTGCTATTTTCCATCGCCGTTCCGTAAAGAATTCAAGGTTTCTAGTGAATTCAATTTGTCGACGGTGATATTCGAATTCAAAGTCAATTTGATTCTGAACGCCTCATTCCCGGATGAGGTAAATTATGCAAAAAAATCATTACCATAACTCAATTGACTACGTTTTTTTTACCATGTGCTTTTCTAACCTTTTTCTAGCCCATTTACTGTAGACTATTTTTTGTGTGTGACACAGTACCATGATTCTGAGCAGTATGTGCTGAGGATAAGCTTTCCCGTCCGCACTGTTGGAAGAAATGCAAAAATTCTTCCTTGGAATCGACAGCCATCAGTCGATGTTTGGAAATGTTTGTACAGTACATTAGTTATGAAGTAGTCGAGAGAATTTTTCCAATCTTCCGCATCTTACAATGGAAATTACTGGTTTATACTGGAAGACACGTGAGCATCAAGTCTGGTCCATGCTGTAATTGTCAATTGCTCTTTCAGGCAGAGTCAAGTTGAGTCTACAAATGGGGGACGCGGAAAAGAAAGAAAAATCAATGCCAAAAAATCATCTGCGCTTTTTTGACGACTGTATGCGTCATGTGTGATGCAGTATCACTGATGACTTATTCAATTTTTGGTACAGTATAAATGTATGATTATTTCGTGTCGAAGACACGACGTTCGGTAAGCCCCGAAATGTGGACGTACTGTAATTGGAGCTTCGTGCTTATCCCTATGCTTGAACTCCGCAAGTCGGATCACGTTTTAGGATCGACATCGAGGGGAATATATTTAATTGGTTTCCCTGTTGATCAAACATTAGAAAAAGTCCACATGAATCAAATATATTCGTGCTTATCCCTATGCTTGAACTCCGCAAGTCGGATCACGTTTTAGGATCGACATCGAGGGGAATATATTTAATTGGTTTCACTGTTGATCAAACATTAGAAAAAGTCCACATGAATCAAATATTATTTATTCTCAACTTCAAGATACAGAAAATAAAGATGCAGAAAAAAACCCAACAAAATCTGCTCTTTTCGCTTGGAAAGGAGCCCAGGAAACAAAGAACAAGCACAAGTCCTCCTACACTGTGAACAGATGATGGAAATAACTATGAAAAATGGAGCACGCGATCAGTCTGTTTACGATTTGGAATTATAGGGAATTTACAATACAATTTGTTAAATTCTATTTGGAATATACTGTACAAAGTTCTAGTTTTTTAGGGATATCAAACAGTTTACGAATCTGGAAATGATGGTTACGTGTCCGCATCTCGAGAAATTTCCTCAAGTTGAATCGTACCGTATTTATGCCGAAGTGTCCGCATGTCGGAACCCCCATAGCATAGTACAGTACTGTACTTCTGAGCGAGATGAGCTGAGGAAGCTTTCTTGTCCCATCCGTGAGGAAAAATGCGTAAAAATGCTGACGGGAATCAAAAGTCGTCAACCGCGAAGTAATCCGATAAAGGCCCGACTACGGTTCCGCTTCCCACCTTTTGAAGTTCCAAAGCGCTGGGTCGAAGCAGCGCTCTGGAAAATCCATCTCGGGAAGGCCCCCGCATTCTTCATGTTCCAGCTCTCCAGGCCTGGAACCCCAGAGGCAAAATGCGGTTCAGTTGAGGAAATAGAAATAAAAATAAAATAAAATAAAATACCTGGGGCCCTCGGGCTGCTGGTTCTGCTCCGGCTGATGCCTGTAATAACCTCGCTTTTCAAGGGGGGTGGGGGTCGGAAGTATGAAATCCTTGAAGCATTACTGGAATGAGTAGTAGTAGTAGTGCATGGAATCCCGGGATGATTCCTGCGCTTATTTCTCCAGCCATGTACTGTAACTGTACGTGGGAGTTGGTTTTGAGAGTAAAATATAAATGCCAGGCAGGGAAAGTGCGTTTCGCTGTAACGCCGTATTTAAAAATGGGAATTTTTTTCGAAATGTTTGTGACCGTTTTTCGAATGGGGTTTCATGCGCAAATTCGTTACAACTCAGCCGACCATTGACTTTTTGGTTGTTGAAAATTTTTCGACGAACGGTCACAAACATTCAAATACGAATTTTTGTTGTTTTATTATTCTTGCGGCATTGCCATGATTATCTTTTTTTTAGCGTTCAATTTTATTTTCTGCGACTCATTTTTGATGGGAATTTTTTGAAAAAAGCTAAACTCGACTCTGTAACGTGATTCTTCTATTGATTCCTCGATGGGGTGAAGCGAAAAGTACAAAATCTCTGTGAAGGCAGATAAAGAAGAAAAAATTGCTGTATATTTTTTCAATGTTCAACTTGGAACCACGAAGAATGAAAAGGAGTTCACTAGTTTTTTATTTCTTAGATCAAGCGGTACAAGACCGTCAAAAATTCAAGCAAAAATTTAAAAAGTGAACTCGAATTTCCCCTCAACTAGCTGTAGAAAAAAATCCCTCAAATTAACGTGGTATTCATTTATTGATTCGTTATATGGCTCAAATAGATTACTTTTTGCGTGAATCAAGAGTACACTAGTTTGGGTATTTCGGATCATGCGCGGAAAGACTGACAAAAAATTATTACACAAATCCGAAAATATGTTCTTGAACTCGAATTTTCCCTCCTCAACTAGTTACAGAAGAAATTACACAAGTGAACTTCGTTTTTTTTTTTTTCAATTTACCAATCCATTAAACAGCTGAAATTCATTTTTTTTTTTCGTAAATCCATTCAAGCGTTCCCACTTCTTGTTCCTCGAACGAAGTGGAACAATGGGAAACGTATTTCGTGAATAAGAGCCTGGGTACGTTCTGGAATTCGGGCCTCAAACAAAGCTGGTAAGCCAATAAATAAACCGTGAACGGAATCCCCTCTGCAAATATGCCCACGAATCCCCGATTTCATGGTCTCTAAGCGCTTACGAAGAAGTACTGGGCTTGTCGACTGGAGATTAATCGATCGACGCCGCGCAGCCTTGAAAATACCTAATAAGATACCTTGGTGGCCAAAAAGGTATAACTGGCGATTATAAAGATGGATTACTGTTACCTGCTATTCATTGGATGTTGTGAACTGATATCAGTGGTCCTTATAGACCAGAAAAAAAAACATATTTGCTAAATTTCAAGAGCAAATCTGAAGAGTTACACATTCAATTATATTCCCGGAAATTTGTTTAAAATGAATACAGGTACAGTATTGTATTCATAAAAATACTGTACTCTGAAGATTTTGAATTCTTGCTCTGAGGAACCTACTGGAATTTTGTGAAGAAACCCATGACCGAACCTTCATTTACGGACCGCATTCAATCCTCATCTGCGGGATGCACCAGAAAGAAGTAGGCCAATATTCAAATAGCCATTTCTCTTGCATGACTGGAACTACCGCTTTAAAAATATCAAATTTAAATCGATCCAATCATTTTCTCGAGGATGTTCAATTTTCCGGCCCCCAAACAGCTTTCACGTGACCGCCATGACCGCTAGAGAAATGTGATGCTGCATTTGAGAAGTCTAGTCGTTTCAACTCTGCAGTGAAATTCTACCGTAGTTCGATACTTGATTGATCCACTTCGGCATAATTAAGACTTCTGATTGCATTTCGGATGCCATTTCTGCCTCAGGATCCTTTGTAAATCCTTTGAAATGGATCAGCGACGGAACGTAAGGAGGGGAAGCTTTTCCTCAAAGGGGACCGTAGTACAGTTGAACCCTGTTAAACTGCCCCCCGATTAACCGCCACCCTCGCTTCCCGCCATTTTTTCCTCCCAAACAAATCTTCTCAAGCTTGAAGGGATGGGAAAACCCCATTTATCCGCCATCCACCAATGTTTTTTGCCAAACAAACAGGATCTTGAAACTGTTTTGTACCCCAATAAACCGCCAATTTTTGGCTCCTCTGTTCAAAAGCTTTATATTTCTGTTGATATTTTTTATTATTATTTGTTTTCTAAATTTAAAGATGCAAAGAATGGGAGATTTATGTCCCCACAAAAAAAAAAATGAATGAAGAGTCATCTTCACCAAAAGCAGGATGGGGAGGGATAGAGGGTGAAACATAAAAAAAAATCAAATACACTTATTCATTAAATGGCACTGTGGCAACCCCTCCCTTGTTAAACCGCCAAAATTCTGCTGCACAAACGGCGGTTTAACGGGGTTTGACTGTCTAGAAACGAAGCACACTTCAGACTAAAACGAAGGATTCGAAAGCAAATTTGTTGCTTTCCTTGTCTCTCCTGGTGCTTCTTCGTGATTCCAATTTTTAGAAAGAACTTGCTCTCGAAATGAGAGGGAAAACCTTCCTCGATTTGATGCATCTGTAAATTATGTGGGTAAATGTTGTTTCTTTCCGTCTCCTAAAGAAACCCTTGTATCATACTGATCCAATTTTTAGAAAGAACTTGCTCTCGAAATGAGAGGGAAAACCTTCCTCGATTTGATGCATCTGTAAATTATGTGGGTAAATGTTGTTTCTTTCCGTCTCCTAAAGAAACCCTTGTATCATACTGAGGAACTGCTACGATTCTCTGATTTTCGCATGTGAAAAACATCTTTAAAGGGAAATGAGGCTTTCGAGTCATGGGATGGAAATAAATTGGGGAAAAAAAAATCACCGTCGCTTTTCTCTCGGGAAAGTGAAGCTGTCAAGTTTTTTTTTTCCTTTCCTCCCCTCGCGAATAAACTCATCATTGCTTATATTGAAAACCTTCGAGCCACATTTTTCACGTCGCTGTTGATGATTTTCAGCAAAGAGAGCCGAGTTTTATTTCTTGGAGAACTTGAAACTTCTCATCGCTGGGAAATCTCCAGCGACAGAAAGACGAAAGCTGATTTCATGTCAGGAATTTCTGAGCAAATTGCTATTCTTTCTCTTGCCGTGAAATGCCTTTCTATTCTCTAACATGAAAATAAACGTTCGTTTTCCAAGAAATCGATTACTGTCCAAGAAAGTATTCTTTCATACTTCGATTGCTCTCTAAGAAATACATTTAAAGTCGTGGAAAGGAATCACGCGGAATTTCCTAGTTTTTCTTTCCAACGAAAAAATCCAACAAAGAAAATGTAGATAATTTTTTGTGCAGTAGATGAATTGTCGATGATTTGTTTGTATCGTGAAAAAAAACCGAACGGTTCAAGTCTTATTCGAAATTTATTTTGGTTGAAAGTTTGTTTTGAAAAGTACTTTCCCAGCCTCAATGAAAAATAATCAGAATACTGTATAATTATTTTTCGTTCATTTGTGAATCTGAAGCGAGGAACGAATACTGATTTGAAAGGAATAAGTCGTGGGAAAGTACATACAGTATTCCTTGCGTTTTCATTCCATTTTACATTATTTATCACGTTGGTGAGAACCCGGCTGTTCCTTTTGAAGATTATCCGGGTATCATTTCTCGCTCGCTACGTATGTCTCACTTTTTTTGTGTGATCTTTTTGCAGGTCGGTCGTGAAACGATCAACAGCAGCGACGATGCCATCCTGCGACAGGACATGCCAGCGTCGCTGCACCGCGTTGAAGAAGCCTCACGATTGCTGGAGGACGCTTGCCGCATGCTTCGAGCTGATCCCTTCTCCCAACCCGCGAGGTGAAAATTTATGCCAGATAAACCCATCGTATCTGAACCTGTCTTGCTAAAAACAAAAGCAAAAAATGTTGGAAAGAAAATGAATACTGTATTGGGTACTTTCCTGTTATCTATGTACCTAATTTCCTGTTATCTCTGTGCCTACTGCACGTTGGACATCTAAGGAGGATACATCATTTTTCTAATTGGCCCAAAAAATCATTTGGTCAGACCCCGAGATGCGGACGTAATTGGTGCATCAAGAGTGTATTGATGTCGGAATGTCTCTNTAGGGATGAATCAACTGGTTGAAAAAAGATTAAAATTTCTTAGACTGCTTTGCATTAGATTAAGTTGGGTTGAGCTGGTTGCCAATACAGTTTTTTGTGATCCTACTCGAAGAGATAACCGTCTTTCTAAAATTAAATTTCTTACTGCGTTGAAAGGAATCATCCTTTTGTTCAAAGTAAATGACGAAACTTGGTTTAATCAATCTGACGAAATTGGGTCATCTTTCTTTGCTGTTAAACGAGGATTTTCGAGAACTTATATCGAAAATCTGCAGATCTTGAAGCTGGGTTCAACTTCAAATAGAGTATCGTTATTTGTCCAGTTGATTGACGTTCTGCGAGGTACGTAACGGCTGACAATAGCCCGAGGTTTTTTTTTTCTGCGATTCAAATGAGATTAAAGCTGTTTTTGACGTTCTTTTTTGCCGGTTGATTTTTCAAGGAGGAAGTAACTTGTAAAAATGTGGATTCTGTGAGAAGAAAAACGGATTGTCGTCCGAGATGGAGCAGTTATTTTTCTTTTCTCCCAGGACAGAAAGCTTTCAAAACATTGCCTCTGTCAAGTACTCTACTTACGTATGAAACCACGGGGAACTTTCGTAGAACAATTCATGCACGAAGAAAAATTGGGATTACAATCCATAAATTCTGCCACCTGAAGCCCAGTGCTGGTTGGCAATTGGCTTTGAATAAAAATAAGCTGGGATTTACGGTTAGAAAGTGCCGTTGTAAATCTCTGGATGGAATAGTACTGCTGTGTATTTCCGGGTTCGTAATTGATGCCAAGTGGAGGGTAATTAGCCCCGATCATGACGGTAAAAGTTGGTTTCCCTTTCTTTCGACACTGCTCTTCACATCTTTAATATCGTTAATTTTTCGATTGTTTTGTTCATGCATTCATATCATGTGTAAGTTTTTAAGGCACAGTCATTTGGAGGCATTGATTTAAAATGTGTGGGAATTAAAAAAAAAAAAACAACGAATTAAATACGAGCACTGTATAGTATTTTGAAACGAAATTTATCAACAATCGAACCTGGACTAGGTCATACAAATGCGATACAATTTCTTCACTTGTGTTGATGAGTATCTTGATTCTCGCTTCTACTAGAAAACCTCACCTTGAAATACTCATTTGACACAAATCAGACGAAATAGGGCAGCTTCGATGACATGTTACCTTAATTTAAATTTCGAATGCACAAACTTTTCAGAAACATTCTCCGAAAGCTCCTCTTCACTGCTTTGAAAACTGTTGAATATTCCACTTTCTAAGTTCTTATAAGCGAGAAAGAAATTCAAAGAAACCAATCTAGAATCATGGGTTTCCTTCTTATTCGTTTATTTGTCGGCTTCGAGTCCATGTTCTTCGTCATGATCCGAAAAGTAGAATCTCGCTGAAATATCTGACATTGATGATTGTGGATTTGGTTGATAAGGGTAAAATTAACACAAAAATGTCACTGCCAATTAAAAGTGACCATGGTCTTCCGATGCCTTTTTCATCCTTAGATTATTTAAAAGAACTTTAATGATATTCGACCAGGAAGTCGTCGAGCCAGCGTTGAGTGGCATCGTTGCTCTCTCGTTGAAGAAGTACTTTCCGCTCAAATTATGCGGGTTTGTTCATCTCGTCTTCTGATTGAAGATGTGGAAAAAGGTAATGAGTCCGAGAAAATGATTTCGATACAATTCTAGGTATAATCTTGAGTTGTTCGGAGCAACTCGAAGGACTCTTAGAAATGGTCCTGTAATCTTGTGGCTGAGCTTTAACTAACGACGGCAAATGAAAGAGTTGTTCATCACTTCTGGGAATTTCAGGAGGAACACAGTATTGTATAGTACATTTCTTCTTGTACAGTATATCAAGAAAAAATGTCTGTTGAGCGTGTCCTCACTATAAAAAAAAAAAAGGATTTGACACTTTTTGAGCACATTTGCTTACGACTCAACCTCAACCAAATTGGCTTTATGACCAAGAAATATTTTACCACAGTAACGTAGACGTAGACCGTTGGAATATATGCGTTAGGCCGCCACAAAATTTAAAAAAGATTCAATTACATTTATTTTGATCGTCAAACGCGTGGACTCAACCTTCACATTTTCAAGATTTTTCTCACATTTACTGGGCGAAAAATAAGCAAGTTTATGTGTGTGTGTGTGTTTTTTTTTAATCTCTCGTTATTTAAAAATATAGGCCTCATACGTGAAACTACTGAGTGGTCTAAGCTCGATATTTTCGGAAATGGGCCCAACTAACGTTTTCAGCTCATTTTTTTTTCGAACAAAAGAAAAGTTATCCAAGATTCAAGCGCTACCCCGGTCTGCCACTCGATTAATTTCTTTCTTCTTTCCTGAACGAATTTTCGATGATATTGCAGGCGTAAGTTGATCGACGGTGCACGAGGCATTTTGCAGGGCACTTCCTCGTTGTTGTTGTGCTTCGACGAGAGTGAGCATTTGCACTTCGGGGAGCTCGTGAATGAATGTCGTTATCCTTTTCGTGAAAGGTTCAGCGATTCGCTTGAGATTCGGCTATGCCTGGAACGTGTAGTGAACCGCTTCTTCTGAAATATGACAAGATAGTAGAATTCCTTTTTTTTTTATATAGCGTAGCTCAATTCTAAATTTGAGATCACTCCGCTGCGACCTTCTTACTCTTGACTAGAAAAAGGGTTCTCCATTGGTAGTACGCAATACCATTGCTGAAGAAAGAGGGGCATAGAATATTGCATGTGAGACGCATGAGATATGATAGGCATGAATGGTGGGCAAAATTACTCGCTTTATGTAAGGTTTAAATTGTACATGAATACTTCTGGGAAAATGTGAATAGGGTGAGAACTACAGTACTCCGTCATGAGTTTCAGTTGAGGATATTTTTTCATAAATGCCTTAGCATTCGGAAATGAGAAGCTCTCAGCACCAAGTTTGGAGATGTAAAAACGAGCCCTTTTTCTTTCAACGTCAGGTGCCGTCCTCAATTTCGTGGGTAAATATGCTGAAATAATCTTCAAATCTGGGAAATATTACGGAATGACTAATAGTGAATTAAGAAGCACGGTTTCGTATCGTCGAATTAATTGTGAGTAGGGTGTGAACTACTGGGTCATGACTCATCAGTTTCAGTTGAAGATATTTTCTTCAGAAATATCTTGACGTTCGGAGATGAAAAGCTCTCAGCCAGCTCGGAGAATTAATAACGAGCTCTTTTTCTCTCAACTTCACGCGGGGTTCTCAATTTCTTGAGTGAATGTATCGAATGACTTTTAAAAATCAGCAAAATATTAATACTGAATGACTAGGAGGTGATTTGGAAGCCCGATTTTATCGGCTAACTATAAATACATTTAACGAAATGATCCGCTGTCCTTCATCGTCTTCTTTTTGGGCTGTTTCTCGATTCTCCGTCAGGACTCCAATTTTCCAAGTACTGCGATGTCTCCAATAACGTCAAATTTAATGAAAAATTCAAGGATTGCCTGAACTGATTTAATCTTACGTTGGAGCTGAGTATTTTTTCTTGGTAGAATATCGGGCCCTTCATTCATTCGTTATCCTCGTGTCACGCTGTCGTCGAGTACTTCTCAATTTTTTTTACATCATTCGTTCCCGGGGATTCTAATGGAGTACAGTACTGTATTTCGTATGAATTCTTAACATTTTCAAAGAATAAGGTGACCTTGTGCAGATTTCATGTATCCATGTCCGATCTCCGCGTCCAATCGAATTTTTCTTCTTGTTGACTCATTAATTTTCGCGCATGTGTGGCAGCCCAGGTGAGGTGATTGGATCATTCCCAAGGATTTTATAGTCGTTTTTATGTCTAATTTCTTTTTAATTTCTGCCTAGGCGATTTTACCATCAAGGATTGCAAGTAACCTCGAGAGATCGGCTGGGGAAATTTCGAATTGAAAAAGGGGGTTGGGGGATTCTAAAATCATTTGCGGAGTAGGATATATGAATGCTTGCATCGAGAGAGTGGGAGTGATTTCTTCGCACTGGTCGAGAAAAAGTTTTGGATAAAGAAATCAAATTACTTGTGGTATTTTTGAACATTGGGAAATCTATTTTCCGAACTTTTTACATAAATCAGACACGGTCGGGATTCGATTCTTCATGAAGACTAATTATTGTATTCTGTGAGTCACGGATTGCATTAATACAGTACTGTACTTGGATTGAGAAAATTGAGAAATGTCTTCTTTTTTGTCGAGAAAAAGTTTTGGAGAAAGAAAACAAATCGCTTGTGGCTTTTTTAAACAATGATTCTTCCTACTTTCCGAACTTTGCGCAGAAATCAGGCGCTTCCGTAATTCCATTTTTCATCATTCATGAAGTTTTGGGTTATTGCAGAAGACTAATTATTCCGTGAGTCAGAGAGTCGCTTCAGTCGGCTACATTTTGCGCGTGAAATGAGCGCGTAGACTAAACGCGAGCTTTGGTCAAGAAAACAAAAGAAAACGGTTTTTGTATTCTCGTTCCCAACCATAAATTTACGAGGCAACCTACGTATAATGAGCCCCGGGATAATGCGCCACGGGTAGGTTAGGGTTTCACACATTAGAAAAACGGGTCGTGGCTGACTCAGGGAGCTCCCCTGTGTTTATTTTGGCATTCCTTGGCAGGAAAGGTAGAAGAGGAAAAAAAATTGTGGGGCGAGCTTCCTGCTAAATTTCACGCTCCGTGGTTTGTGTTTGCAGCGAGGAGAAAAAGTTGGCGAGAATGTTTACTTCTTTTGTGTAACGTGATAGCAGTCTGCCCTTGAAGGTATACACCAATTATTTTCGCTCGCCTGCTTGTCATGAAAACTGGTCGATATTTCAAGAGTTAGTGCTGTAATTTTTTTTTTTAGCCTTTGTTGGCGAATTGTTCTTTATAACACTTGAGGAACGAGCATGAGACTATTCACAAGGTCACCTTTGCCTGGAAAAGAACAGTAGCAGTGAAGTTCTTCGGGTTCTCAACCCATGATCGAACCACTGTTGGATCAATAGAAAGACTTGAAGCAAACACAAGGGCATTTCTTTAATTGAAGCCCTTACTTTGGCGACTTATTGCTCGCCAATGATCATTTCAGGCTTATTTTATTAATATTATCAAGTTAATTACAAGAAACTTCCAATAAGAGATCGCTTCTTCCATTGACGCGTGGTTGTCGAATCTCGGAATTTTCATGGAAATTTTTTTTCGATATTTTCGAAAGTTTGGTGGCTTCTCTACTCCAAAATGTATTCCAAAATGCAATTTAGGCTTTAGACAGGTGACCGTTATAGTAGTGCTCTTTTTTCATGTTCGTGATGAAAAATTGGAACAGTGGTCAGGAAAAGGCCAAACATTAATCTGTGAAACTTATGTGGATGAAAATGCAGTATGCCTTAATTTATCTCACAATTGCGCGATATTTTCCAAAAGGAACAGCCGAGAGCTTTAAAACGCGCGATAAGGAAAAATAAAACCTTTTTAAAAGCTGTACGGTATTCTTGCTGGTACAGTATTTCGGTATCCAAGACAAGTTTATCCCAGTATTCTCTTTAATTTTTTTTTTTTTTTTACAAAATTCCAGGTGTCGAGAGACGTGGACGCTCGCCAGCAAGAATTGACTCACCAGGTTCACCGGGAGATATTGATCCGATGTCTGGACCAAGTCAAGAGCTTCGCTCCGATTCTCATCTGCTCCATGAAGGTGTTCGTGGAAATCGTTGCCACTGGAGCTCGTCAGTACTTTCTTCCATACTATCATTATTTTTATGACAATTTTTTATGTCTCACGTATGTAAAATCCCGGCGACATGTGCGAGGAATAATTCATTGGTTAGTCTGGGAACAGATTTCCAGGTAAAAGAAATTATTGATTTCATAAATGCAGGTTCAGTTCACTCGAATGCCCAACTTTTCCCATGAAAATGGCGGGTGAATAATTCAGTTTCCAGAATTTCAACTTGCTTATTGTGATTCATTCCTCATGATCATCGAACTACATTTGTTTTTTTGAATTTACATTCGCGCTACAATTTCCGACTTGGAAAATTAGGATGGGCTCTCACTTGACTCCAATAAAATTTACAGTCTAATATATTTGATTCAATTGCACGTTTTAAATCTTCGTCTGTACATCGAATGTGAAAAGTCTCATTGTTATTTTGGAGTATCAAGGTGAAAATGTGGATTTAATCCGATTTCGGGATAACGAACGGAGTGAACATTCGTAGACTGCGCTTCGAGGGATATTTTTAATTGAACCAGGTTCTGTTGTCTCGAATACTAAAAAGAGCATCTATCAGTTCTTCATTTTGCCTTTTTCCACAGGAGGTGATGGGTTCGACGAAGCGAACGAGAATAGAAATTATCTTGCCGGAAGAATGACGGATGAAATCAATGAAATCATTCGTGTGCTTCAGCTGACAACGTACGACGAAGACGAATGGGAAGCGGATAGTTTGTCCGTCATGAAGCGAGCGCAAAATGCAATCGAAAGCAAATTGCAGACGGCACATGACTGGTTGCAGGTTTGCCAAATCGTTCAGAATTTATTTTTCATTTTGTAAAGCGTGAACACTTTTTACAATCTAAGATACCCACCTTTTTTCTCGTTTTTAATCTCTCGGCTTATTCTATTCGGAAATTACTGGTACCGTACAGTATAATGCTGTACTTCATCAAATATATTGTCGACAAACCTTAGTATAAAATGTTCGTGAATATTTGGGAGTACAGTAATAAATAACATCTACAGCAGTGCTTGAGAGGCTAACGCTTATCTTTTCTTCGAAAAATACTTTATCGTCGTTGAGGAGATTTTTTTCATGCCTTTTAGTAGCTAGAACCGAAACACCCGCTTTTCGTAGAGAGTACCGCTTTAGAATTAGTCCATCGATCTGTACACAGGGTGATTAAAATTCGGGAATAAAAAAATTAAATAATCTCTCTGTTTCTCAGGATCCCTTGGCACTTCGAGGCGGAGTTGGCGAGAAGTCTCTGCGTCAGATCGTTGATTACGCGTCGCGTGTTGCGGAACGAGCTTTGCCTCCGGACAGCGAAGCCATCCGGAAGCTGACCGGGGACGTGGCGTCCATGATGGACGCCCTTTGCGAACTGCGCCAGAACGGCGAAGGGGCCACTCCGCAGGCCCAAGGTCTTGCTCGGAGTTTGGGACAGAAGCTAAAGGAACTGGATGCTCTCGTAGCCAAGGCCGTTGTGAATGTGGAGAAGTCTGGTCTGGTGCAACCCGCGCATACGGTTTCTGGGCGGTTGGACCAGGCCAAACGCTGGTTGCTGAATCCGTCTGCGGATGACCGAGGATTGGGTCAGCAGGCCATCGGACTTATTGTGCAAGAAGGAAGAAAGGTGATTTGTCTTGTGGATTTTTTTTTCCGTTCATGTAATTTCAGCCGGGGCAAAGGTTTCCACCTCTCGTCGCATTTTCTCAAGGATTGAAGGCTTACTTTTAAGAAAGTAAACGCCGGTTTCTTGCTCGACAGTTGTGTCCCAATTTTAAATACATCACTGTAGTCTGAAAACGGGCGCAGGAGAAAATCCCGCATGCCCAAAAATCTCGTGGGATACGAAAATTCTGCGAATCACAAAAATCTGTTGAAAGGACAGTTAATATTCAGAGCCAATGCAGGGATTAAAGCTCCAAATGAAGGCTCCATCTTTGTTTAGCTCTTGAGAAAGTTAATCCTGAACTTTCAAATGGTTCAAAACCGCGAATGCACACTTTCACAATTTGGTAATCACAAAACTTTTATTCCCACGGGGTATTCGGATTTTCATTTACTGTAGAATTGTTTAATATTTCAGAATTTCTCTACTCACCATTGCCTACTTTCGTTACCAAAAGAAACTTTTTATGATGCATAAATTCACATGGCGGGATTTTCTTACCCTGCGAGATTTTCGGGCCTAGGAGATTTTTTTTACCTACGGAATTTTTTCGTGGAGCCTTGAAAACATACCGTAAATTATTGTTTGTTGACGCCTAACCGATTGCGATCGACAAGCAGAGTCTGATTTTTTTTTTTTTACTGAATGAAGTAGAAATGTGGCGAAATACTAGGTAATCCCGGCGTGAGAAGGGTGGAAAGTGATAAATTTTGGTCCTTTGATTTTCCGTTCAGAGTTCGAAGTACGTGGGCTCTCTTCTCTAAAGCGATTTGTTTGAAATCTCTTGAAAAGGTTGCCGAAGGACTATCCGGTCCCCAAAGAGTGGAAATCCTAGGATTGTGCAATGATGCCGAGCGAGCAGCCATAGCCAAGGCCGTTGTGAATGTGGAGAAGTCTGGTCTGGTGCAACCCGCGCATACGGTTTCTGGGCGGTTGGACCAGGCCAAACGCTGGTTGCTGAATCCGTCTGCGGATGACCGAGGATTGGGTCAACAGGCCATCGGGCTTATTGTGCAAGAAGGAAGAAAGGTGATTTGTCTTGTGGATTTTATTTTTATTCATGTAATTTCCAACGGGGCAAAGGTTTCCACCTCTTGTCACAGTCTCTCAAGGATTGAAGGCTTACTTATAAGAAAGTGAGCGCCGGTTTCTTGCTCGACAGTTGTATCCCAATTTCAAATACTGTACAGTAGTCTGAAAACGGGGGCAGGAGAAAATCCCGTATGCCCAGAAATCTCGTGGGGTACGAAAATTCCGCGAATCACAAAAATATGTTGAAAGGACACAGTTCATATTCAGAGCCAATGCGGAGATTAAAGCTCCAAATAAAGGCTCCATATTTGTTGGGGTCTTGAGAAAGTTAATCCTGAACTTTCAAATGGTTCAAAAGAAACCGCAAAGGCACACTTACACAATTTGGTAATCACAAAATTGTCATTCCCACGGGATATTCGGATTTATAATTGTTCAATATTTCAGAATTTGTCTGCACACAATTGCCTCCTTTTTTTTACCAAAAGAAAGTTTTTATGATGCATAAATTTACATGGCGGGATTTTCTTACCCCGCGAGATTTTCGGGCCTAGGAGATTTTTTTGACCTACGGAATTCTTTCTTGGAGCCCAGAAAATATACCCCTAAGTTACTGTTTGTTGACACCTAAGGCCTAACCGATTGCGATCGACGAGCGGAGTCTGCATTTTTGTACTGAATGAAGTAGAAATGGGGTGGAATACTAGGTAATCCCTGCGTGAGAAGGGTGGAATGGGATGAATTTTGCTTATTTGATTTTCCGTTCGGAGTCGAAGTACGTGGGCTCTCTTCTCTAAAGCGATTTGTTTGAAATCTCTTGAAAAGGTTGCCGAAGGACTATCCGGTCCCCAAAGAGTGGAAATCCTAGGATTGTGCAATGATGCCGAGCGAGCAGCCATGCAACTCGGAGACCTCGTTTCCCGCGGCCAGGGCAATTCTCCCGAAGGTCGCCGTTTAGCCAAGCTACTTGCCGTCAAGTTGGATGCTTTGAAAGAAGCTATTCAGGGTGCCCTAGTGGACAGAGTTGTAGAAGATTTTGCCGACGTTGCGACACCGCTCAAGCAATTCACGGACGCCGTGACTGCGCCCGAAGGCACGCCAGGACGTGAAGCAAATTTCGCCGAGAAGGCTGCGAATTTGTCGGCATTCGGCAATAGAGTTGCGAAAACTGCGAGGCTCGTTGCAGCTGGTTCGGGAGGGAACAAGAAATTGGCTGAAGCGCTTCTTGCTGCCGCCTCTCAGGTCAGTTGAGAAATTTCTGATTAATTGTGAACAAACCGCAATTTAAATGCAGTCTGTGTTGCCGAGAATGTGAGGCGGCCTTTTCCGAGGTTGACTTTTCAGGAGATCGGTTGCGTGTTGATTTTCTATCCCCGATAATCGTTCGAAGCCTGGCCTGAACAGATACAGAAGACTAACCATTCAAATTGCAAATACCCGAAGCATCTTTCGACTTTTCTCTCTTTTCAATTTTCCTCAAATCCGCGGAATCCTTATATTGCCTGCCGGACAAATTTTCTTGAAGGGAAATTTAATTAAGCCTTTCTCTGCTGTTCATAAAAAATGTTAGAAGAGGTACTGTATATTCATTTTACAATTGGTGTTTTGGTCCACTCCGTTCCATCGCGTTCCGGGCATATCTTGAAAGTCAACTTTTGCCGAAGTCATTCATTTTTGTGAATCAAATCCATCGCTTAAAATTTACATGAAATAACGCTTGAAAAATTTGAAGTTGCTTTTTCAATGTAATGTACTATACAAAATTGCAAAGGTATTACGAGAGATTATGCGGTCGATCTTTTTTTCTGAGCGTAATTGGAGATGTTCTGAATTTTTTCGAAGTGAACGAAATTTCCTAGGCTTGTTTCAGTTGATCCCGATGAATGCAACGCGTATGACCTTTCGTACTTTTAGGTGGAGAGTTTGACGCCGCAGCTGGTGAATGCGGGTCAGATTCGCATGGCGTATCCTCAAAACAAAGCCGCAGATGAGCACTTCGAAAATTTGCGGCTTCAGTACTCCGACTCCTTGCACAAAATGCGAGCGTTGGCCGATGAAGCGACGGATTCTGCCAAGTTTATCCGTGCTTCAGGTGAAGAAATTTCGTTTGCTTCTTCTGTATGCGATTACGGGAAGCAATATTATTTGATACCGTATTCACTTGAATATATGCATCCCCCTTTTTTCAATTTAGAAGCTTGAAATCTAGGGGATCGCTTGTAATCGCAGTAATTTGTGCGATTCGTGTGAATATAAGCACCCCTATGTGTGAATACAACCAGGGGAGGGGTGTGCTTGTATCCGAAGAGTGCTTACATTCGCGTGAAAACAGTAATATTTTAAATGCTCTGTCGATGATGTGTTCTCTGTGTATGGAATAAAACGAAATTATTTCTTAATTTCAGAGGACGCCATGAGGTGGCATATTGGCCAGTGCGAGGAATCGATCAGTCGGCGAGACCCGCAAGGCATGGTGGACCACACGTCTTCCAGTGCGCGGTTGGGCAACCGTGTTTTGATGGTTGCCAAACAAGAAGCGGACAATTCCGAAGATCCCGTGTACAATGCACGAATCAACAGAGCTGCGGACGGACTTCAGAACGGTTAGTTCCAACTCTCATTTCGAGCGAATCCGAGCCGAGATTGAAGGATGAGTTCAAAGTTTAGAAGTACTGTAGTTGATAATCCGGCTTAATTTTGTCGGATTTTAATACTCTACATGCTGAACGTGAAATCCCCCTTGTTATAGAGCGATCCCATAGAATGTTGGTACTGTACAATTTTTAAAGTTGTATTTGTCTCGTATGATGCAGTGAAAATAGTTATTGTACTTCGCCGATAAGAAAGATATTGGATAGTATTCCGTCTTTGTGATCAAATTCTATGACGGGATGTGTACAAATTATGGTCGTATTCGTGCCGCATGTCGTTGCGGTTGCTGTATTTTGATGTATGGTTCATTTGAATTGTTCCAGCGGTACCACCTATGGTGCAGGATGCTAAGAACGTGGCGTTGAACATGACCGATCCTAGGGCACAGAAGCGATGGCGCGAATCGAGCCAATCGGTGAGTCCTAGATAAATATATTTTATTGAACCTTACGGAACCGTATAATTTGATTGTCTTCATCGGTTTCACGAAAATTGGACAGGTTTTGTTCTGGTACTAATTTTAATTGAAAAAATTCGCTAAACCTCGTCCTTGGGTTATGTTGTGGGGCAGCGGAAACTAGGATTTTTTTTCGTACCGAATTTTAGAATAGTCGAAGAATGAAGCAATTGAGGAATTTAATTTGAGCTGAGTAGTGAGTTGTTGGTTCCCCCCAAGTTCCACAGAAATGACGTCACCTATTGCCATCTTCATTTCGATGGCTTCTCATCTAAAATATTGTTGGTGGTATCGTTAGCGACAAAAATTTTTCCTCCTATTTAGACTTCAATTCCACGAATTATCTGCTGTTGTCTCGCCTTTGATGATTGTACTGACGATCATTTCCCTCTTCCTAAACGTCCTCGTTCTATACGCATTTCGAGGACAATGAATTATTCTGTTCTTTTCAATTGTGGATACGGAATAAAATCATAAGCCTCATGCCTTTCTATGAAAAGAGATCAAGATCCATATTTTTTCTCGGGGGAACGTGCTTACAGTATCATGAAAGGTTCCAGAAAATTTATCTTGGGCTGATTTTAAAAGTACAGTACTGTTCTGTGCGTAATATTCTCAGAAAATCGCGTTGTTTGCAGGCATGATTTTATTGGTAAAACTTCGAACTTTTTATTTGTGCCAAAAGATGAGTCGATAATGGGTACTTCGCTAATAAAAAAGGTATTACTGTAATGTACATTATTCCGTATTCGTGATCGCTATGCGTTCAGTCAGTCAATGATTTTCTGTTTTCCTCCTTTGATAATTACATTTCAAAAAATGAAATATTCCCGGGGTTCACATGCATGAGACTCACTCTTCCTTTCTTCGATAACCAGGTTCTTGATTCTGTTGGTGAAGTTAGACGTGCCGTCGAACCTGCGCGAGAAATGGGCTTCCCCCCGCCACCGGATCTTACGGATTTGTCACTCAGCGGTAAGTGGAAATTTCGAATTCTTGTATATGTGACCCGTCGTCCTTTTCGACACCTTCCGCGGTTCTTGACGTCGTCACGTTTGATAACAGATCATTCGGGTTTCAATTTCTTTTTCCGAAGCACTCGTTATCATCCTCGTTGCATATTCAGTGGCGAAGACTCTATGTTGCCCACGTTTTTTTTTTTTGGCAATTTTATCTAGTTTTTGGAAAATGTGTTAGGTGGAAACTGGAGGTTTCCGTTGAATAACAGCCAAGTTCGCTTGAAGCTTGATTACGCACTTGCAGACCGACATTTGCGTTGATATTCGCGATGCAGTTAAACAATAAAATATAGATTCCACGTCATCAGCGTTGGCCGACGATGAAGAAGACTGGCCGCCGCCGCTTCCAGAATCTCCGCCTCCCATGAGCTCTAAAGATGCGGATGCGTTGAGAAACCAGGAATCCTTCCGAGTTTCTCTTCCACCACCGCCAGTGCCACCAAAACCAAGATCGCGTCCAGGTTCGGAAATGAAAAGATGCAGTTTACGGGGATTTTTCTTATTGTTTTTGCGAGGAATGCATTAATTTCGACCCCCCCTCTGGCTGGAATTGCTGCGGGCTGTGGACCTTGCCTGCGATCATTTTCCCGAATAACTCGTGTTCATTCCCGTGCGAACATTCCTGCTCTTTGCCAATGGAGAGAATTTTGCGTTGCAATGTCGAAAAAAGGTGTGGGAAGTTAGACGCTCTATCGAATGTGAATGTTCTCCTTTTCTTTCAAACGTTCGCAAAAAAAGCTGAACGGCCAAGGATTGAGTTTTATGTACTGTACTGTATCACGATGAAGCACTCCCAGAATTTTGTAGAATCTATCATTTTCTGAACTGGCGATAAAATGTCGGAGAGCACCGTTGGGGAAAATCGTTTATTTTTGTTTTTGGGGATCCCTTACTCGAGTAAAAAGCCTTGTTTTGAATTTTTCTCCATTGGGCAAAGAATGGATTGCTGCCTATACATTTGACTGCGCTCGTGTGTGGAAACGACAGCGCTCAATTTAACCACCACAACAGCTTCCGTTTTCCTTATGGCTTTGTTGCTGCTCGGGAATGCCGCCTTGGCGTGTGGCTAAAGTTTGCCCTTGCTTAGGAATACAAAATTTTTAGCATTGTTTTTTTCGCGGGGTTTCATCATCAGTCGATTGCCTTCGATTAAACATGAATATCATTCTTTTTGAGAAAACAGTTGTGAAGGCCGATATTTTTCCTTTTTACTCTGTTCGATACTTTTTAGAAGTTAAGGGTCGCGTGACAAGAGTTTTGGAAATGGATTTATCGATTCTCGTAAAAATGAAAAAAAAATATGGAAGTACAGTACTATATCCAGTAAAAGAGAGGTTTCACGAAATGTTGTGTGAGATGTCAAAGTTTAGCCCTCGTTTCGTTCTAAGACAATGGCTCGAACTCGGCTTCGGACCTCGCTCATGACAGCCCTTCGTGATCTTGTTGAAATGGTCTTGTAGATGTGACATGGATTCTTTCCTCCACCATTGTCTGAATCGTGATTTATATTGTAGTAAAAGAAGAAAATACTGGACCCGTCTCCGTAATAGAAATGTCTGGAAATTTTGGGAAGAGCGCGTTACGAAATCTTTAGGTTGGAATTTTATGAACAGAGATACTGTACACTGTATCTCTGACAGAATGATGAGCGTAGAACTTCTGTCCGATTGTCCGGTCATGATGGACGTTTTTAGTGTTTCCCGTACGGTTTTGACATGTGGTACTGACGAACATTTTTCAGTATTGAATATCAAAGAAAAATATGGTCACTGTCGAGGTTGAAATTCGATTTTTTTTCCGATCGCGTGGGTCGATAAACGCACTTACGAAGGTACAGTAAAATTAATTCATCGAAGATTGACAATAATTTTTTGAACTGTTATTCCATAACAGTATATTGGTTCTCACTAATTCATGAAAATTCCATCGAGAACCCTATAAAATCTCCAGTGCACTTCATTGATGTTATCTAACGAATAAAGACAACACGAGTGGGAAATTGTATATAAATACGCTTCTCACCGCTTCCCATTCCAAAAATTTCGTCATTTTGCAATACGGTACTGTACTTCAAAAGGAGGAGAATTAATCATTTTATTTTTCAAATTTCTTTATGTTCATTATCCTCAAGATTCAACCTGTAATTAGTTCGACAAATTTATTTTTGGTAACATGGTTGTGACCATTAATTGCTGTGGAGCGGAGTCACGAAATACAGTAGCTGCTAAATCGAGATCTGTTTCACAGCCCATTTTTGGGAATTCAAAAGCATAGGAAAACATCAGTTTAAGTTACATTCCGGAATGAAAGCGATGCTTGCTGAAGTGACTGGCGGAAAGCATTTCAAAAACAAAAACCCGACTAGAGAAAAAGCACGATGAGCTGAATTCCGAAATAAATTAGAGTTTCAGTCACGGTTGCTGAGAGAAACAATTTATATCAGGTTTTCACATGTGATCAGATATTTTTTGCTAGTAGGTGTCTCAGTTTGCTCAAGTTGGGCTATTCCTCGTTGAATCAAGGTTCCTTTTTATCGGAAGATTTTCGAATCTCGATCGGAGAAATAATCGATGATTCCTTTTTTTCACACGATATTATTCGCTCATTTCAAGAAGGAAATGAGGAATCCGACTTTTTTCGACTATTCCCAAATTTTTGTCGTGGAAGAATTAGTGTTCCTGGATGGATTTCTCCCTATTGTTCGGAATTTTTGAATCCATCTCTATTCTTGCCTCTAATGCTTTCCTTCCGATTGCTTCATGCTGCCTATGGGAAAAACGGCGTCGTTGGTTCGTACGCTTGTTAAAAATTTCCAACGCGCGATCGCATCCCATTCCGGAAACGGCAAAAAAAAAGTAGACCAAGTAGAGCGCAAACTTGAAGAGGACGAAGATGACGGATCCTGCTCCTTCCTGGCTGTCTACGAAGCCCGGACTTCGGGACGCCGTTCAAAGTCCCGTCCGGATCGCACAGCAGCCGAGAACCGTCACTACGCGGACAACAAACGGCGGCATCGACACTCGAAACAGACGCCGGTGTGCGACGAAGAAATTGCCCCGACGGCGGCGAGTCCGGCGCCTCCGCCTCCGCGGACGAACGCGTCCAAGGACGCCTTGTTGCGGCACGGGCGAAGGAGTCGGCGACGAGACTGTGACTGGAACGACGACGATGACGGGAGGAGCTCGACGGCGTCGAGCAGCGATAGCGGGCTGCACTCGTGGCCGAATAATTCCAGGACGAAATTCGGGGTTTCTTCCTTGACTGCGAATAGAATTCCAGGTTTTGATGAATGCTGCATTATTTTGGGAAATTTTGATAGGTTGCATTTACGGAAATATTTTGGCTGTGCGATTGCCGCGCGTTTCCTGTTCGCTCCACAGGTTTACGAAGATTTTTCGAATGTATTCTTGTTTTTCTTACCATAAATCTTATGACGCGAAGTAAATGCTATCACTCATAGTTTTTTTTTTTTTTAGATCATGTTCTAGGTTGGATATGACTTCTTTATGAACGGCTTATTTTTATTAAATTCATCCGTGAGATTTTCTTCAAAAGCTTGAGAATGGCTTCGAGGGACTTCAAAATAAGTTGAAACTTTGATCAGGCTTAACTTGCAATCGTTGATTTTCTAAAATTATAAATGATGATTAGTGACGGTCCAGAATTAATCTGATTCAACTCCGTTAGGTTAAGCGTTAAAAATTTGATATGTGTCATGTCTTGCGCCGGGTGAGTTTCTTCATCATTCCACAGATGTCGCTGGCAGTTCGTTTATGTCAATAGGTCCGATTTTTCATGGGAATTCGAAAGGTTATTTTTGGCTTGGTTAGCTTTTAAAATCAAGTTAGCTTAGGTTCAGTGTGGTCAAATTCTTCAATCCAGTCAGGGATTTAGGTTACTCTTTCGTGTCATACCAGAAAGCACGGTTGGGTGTTAAAAGTAAGAAACTTAATTTTTCATACGCAGTACAGTGCAGTAGTACTGTACAGTGTTAGTGTGGGTTGAAAATTGAAAACCTCGAGTTTTTTGGAAGTTGAAGTCCCATTCGACGCGGATATCATGGCATTGAGAAGAAGTTCTTCAAGCGCCGAATTCCTTGTCACGTTGCATGAAAGGCTTCGTTTTGAAATTCGAACTCGATTCCGTTGTATATGATTGCGTTTAATTTTGCTTTGTTATCCTGAGACCTTGTTTTTATGGATGCATGAAAGCTTGGTGGGCAATTCACGGGTGGAACCCGAAAGACGTTTGATTTCGAATTTATTTTTTACAGCACCCCTCTCGCTTTGTTGGGATTGCTTGAAGTTTTCTTGACCGAATTATGTTCCTTCCCGTTCATCCGAAGACCGCCTCTTGTGAAATACCAATTTTTTTTTTGTGTTGCGATTGCTTGGGTTTACCGTGATTTCAATTTATTTTTCGGTCCTGTTCCTATTCCGTTTGAATGGACCCTGAAGGGATTCCTATTTTTTGATTTTTGCGGAATCCTGGTTCCGTGTTTTTCGTCGATTATATTCTTTTATTGATGAGGACGTTTCTTTGTTGAATAGATGCCCCCCCGAGGCCGCCGCCGCCATCCATGGGCGGCGTGGGAAGCGGTTTTGGTCCGCCGAGACCGCCTCCGCCGGAAACAGATGACGAGGATGACTCCGCATTTGCCAGACCGCCGGCACCTAATCAGCCCATCATGGTGTGTGCATCCTTCTATTTCAAGAAAATAGTTAGCCTTTCATTTTGGAATTCTGCATATGCATCAGCGAACAATTTATGCTCCGACATTTGCCTGTCATGCATGCTTTCCATCGCTTTTGTTGACGTCGTAAGATCAAGAAGTCAGATGCAGGGCAGAGCGTGTACGGTATTCTGACATCATTAGAAAATCGCCTGATTAAGGCTACCTTGCTGTGTTACCCAGGCGTCTCTCTTCTATCGAGAATATGGATAATATTGTCTCGATTTCTCCTCAAAAAGGTTATCAAATATCTGTAGAATCATGTAGAGATTTACTTTTATCCTGCCTCAGGCCAAGTGAAGAAGAAATTTACCCTAACAAGTGGTCTCTTCCTCGAGAAAAATGAAAAAATTTCAGAGGATTTTTTTTCATTCTGCGTGAAGTCCTCTTAATTGTATAAGTATGTACTGTACCTTGTTCTTTTCGGCTTTTTTTCAAAACTCCTTGACACTTTTCAAGAGTATAGCTTGTTCTGGTCTAATTATGATTGTACTTACTCTTTAATTTTTTTAATACATTTTTTCTTCGACGGCATAGCCTCAGCTAGAAATTTTATTTTTTGAAGCTGCCTCTGCATTGCTTCTGCATTATGTGCCCGTCTGTGAACCCCAATTTTAGGCATGAAGGTTCGGTCAGGTTAAGTTTTCTTTTAATTAATTATGACTTCCGCATTAGGTTAGGTTAAATTTTTAGGTGCTATGTTAGGTTATTCATAGTGCGTTAGATTTTTCAGATTTTATGTTAGCCACAACTTATACAGTATTAGGCTACAGGTATTGAGTTAGTTTGGTATGTCGTATTCGTTGAATACAGTGCGTGGGTCTGTTAGTTGTTACATTAGTTTTTTTTTGTTAGGTTATGTACAGTGGTGCTCCGACATTCTGACAATTAAACTTGTGGACGCTTCTAACAAAATATAATCTGCCCTGACATCCGTTTGACTCACGATAGTGGCATGGCCAAATTTTCAGGAAATACAAGACTTTTTTTCAACATTTTGATGTCGCATGAAAAATTGATTTTTGCTGTGGACATGAAGTCGAAATCAATCCTGCTATAAATATATTTAAAATTTATCTTCAAAAGCAGCTGAATTTTTGCCTCTTCTGTGTGTTTTTTTTTTTCAACTGTGTACAGGAGAGCAACTTTTTTGCCTCATGGACTCCTTTTAATGCCAAAAAAAAAAGAAATTTGTGTGTTTTCTGCTGTTTGATTATTTGTTTCTGCTTTGAATTTTCGAAAATAATTTTTCGTTGAATTTTGAGGACTATCTCCAATTTTTCACAAAAACGAGAAGCACTGACGAAGTTCCCATTGAAGTCCATAAAAAATTTGATCTGTTGTGCGGATGTTTCAACGTATGGACAAAACTGAGTTATGTCCACATAAATTGGTCCCCACTTTAGTTTGATGTAAAACTAGACGGAATTTTTTTTTCTAATTTCGATGATTCAGTAAATACAGTATTTAAAAAATGGGACAGCTTCAAAAAGGAAAACATTATGTCTACGCTCTACAATTTCACTGTACTGTACTTCACTTCCGCATTTATCCTTCTTCTCCGCATGAGATTACGTGATGTAATGACGATGATCCTTGGCGACTTTTACAGATGGCCGCCCACGGATTGCACGAGATGGTGACCCAGTGGTCCTCTCGTGACAACGAGATCATTGCGGCGGCGAAGCGCATGGCGTCTCTGATGGCGAAACTGGCTCAATTGGTGCGCGGCGAAGGCGGCACGAAGAAGGACCTCATCAAGTGCGCCCAAGACATTGCGGACGCTTCGTGCGAAGTCACGCGACTAGCCAAGGAGCTTGCGAAGGAGTGCACTGATAGACGCATGCGAACGGTGCGTAATTCTCTGTTGAACACCAAATAAATAAAATGATTGCAGTATTTTCAATCTGCTTCTGGGTCGTGTCAAATGTTGTGGGCGAACTAGTTTTGTCCTTCGTGCGAGAAGACGTTTGATTTCCGACTGCGGAGACGTATCAGAAGATTTTTTTAACGTTGGCTGGTTTTTGTCGGGAGGAATTTTTAGCGATTTTTCAAACACTCGAGTTTTCGTATTCCTCCTCCGAGCTGCCTGTCATGATTTTTATAAAGTTCAGTGAAGTTTGCGGAGCTTGAATAATTTTGTATACCAAATACTGTAATTACATTTTTAAAAAGATTATCGACCGATTGAAAATTTTTTCATGATCGCTCGGCAGAATACAGTATAACCAACATACCCGCGAATTCAAAAAAGCATTAGTCTGAATAAACATGGAAATCAGACGATATGAAGTCGCGAATCTTGAAATCGCGGGGTATGCGGTTTATTTCATTTTATCGCTTAACTCATCGTCATTCGTCCTTATTTAATTGAAAACCGAATTATCGGAGTCCTGTTGTAATTTTGTTATTCTGTTCTGAGTTTCCGAAGATTTTTATACATATCTTGCATTTTTTAAACTCTGATGCTACGTATCACATGTCCGATACTTGGCGAAACGTTCACGTTCCCCATTTTAGAGCTCTGAATGTGATTCAAACCATACACAGTGTTGAAGGAAGCCTGCATTGCAGTATTTGATTCTGATGCAGAAATCGACCTCAAGGTGTAGAAATTTTGCGCATCTGAAATTCTTCCATGTGGAAGTAGATAAAATTACTGGGGAAGGTATTTTTCGTAAGCGGAGTTGAAGTTTTCGGGAACTGGCGTTCTTTTACCGGTTTTCTTTAAATTACGCTTCGTTAGTTAAATTTTTCGCTGTTTCATTCATGGCATTTTCTTGGGGTCGTTCTCTTCGATCGAATTGCGGCTTCGAAGGATATTTCGAAGACTATGATCTAAGTCTGGGATATTTAATTTTTTCTATCCTTTTCCAAACTTGGTTGGGGTTTCCGTTCAAAAAAGTTATATTTTCTTCTTTTTTTTCAGAATCTGCTGCAAGTATGCGAACGCATTCCGACGATTGGAACCCAACTGAAGATTCTCTCAACTGTCAAAGCAACAATGCTTGGAGCTCAGGGTAAGAAATATCCCTTGATGAAACTTGAGATTATATTGAGAGAGCGTCAGAATTTCTGTCGTGAGATGAATTTGATGAAGATTAATTCGAAAGGTCTTTTCAATGTCGGTACTCATGCAAACGCGTTTCCCGTTTTTTTCTTCTTTTTTTTCTCGTTCGTGGCTTTGTGTTACGTTTCCTCTCTCGTCGTTATTTGCGTGTGAAAACTATCAGCAGAGTCGTTCCCGAGACGAGACGACGGAGAAATAGTTGGCGGTAAATATCGAGAGCATCCCGGAAACTATTTTTTCCTATAATTTTTATTTTGTTTTTGCTGGTGTGACCCCTGTTCCAAACTCATTTTAATCGAGCTTCGAATAATTTGTTCAGATGCTCGAAAAGGTTTCGGTTTTCCAGGCATGAAGATTGACTCCTTTTGAGGCCTGTGAATTTTTGCATTGAGCGAATCTGATAATTAACCTGGGATTTCTTCTCTGTTTTCTTGACTGTGGCTGTGAAGAAAAATGCTCAAACTTAATCATCATGACGATTATTCTTTTTTGATATACAGTAGCTTTTTTAAGCGAAATTTTTGGAATTTTCATGAGCGCCAAAACAAAATTACCGTTAATATTCATACTCTCGTGGAACGTCGAAGAGGTAAATCATTGCTGCAAAATTTTTTCAGTTGAAATCTCCGTTTAGATGTATGGGATGAACCTGGATCATATACCGAGGAAAATTTTCAATTATTGTGGATTTTTAATTTTCTCCGAAGAAAAGTTTGAATTTGCAAATTCTTTCTGCTTGACGATTTCCCGAAGCGGGCTAATCATCATCCATTCGAAATTTCTTTTATTCTTATCATTTTTCTCCTTGTTTTTTTTTTTATGCCTGTTGCTGCATCATGTTGCCACTGCTACTGACGAAACCATTCGGGAAAAAAAACTTTCGCGAAACGAAAAAAATTACCCAGAAGGCGGTGTTCCGAAGATGACTCCAGGTGATTCTGCGCGATTTAATTCGTGGAGGAACCAACGGGGGATTCTGTTCTCGTTTTACTACTTGTGTAGAATTTTCTGTTCATATCCTTTTTTTTTTTTGTACATTGAGTTCTTCTTGCATGTTTATCCGAGTGTCTACTATGGATACCGTTTTTGGCGGCAGCATGTTCTCACGAGTGTTGTATGTTGCAAGTAATCGGTGATTGACTGTTCGAGTCTTGAAAATTTTTTAACTTTTTCTATCTACGATACAATCAAATTTTGCTTAATAATTTTCGATGAAAAAAGTACCATGTGGCTCATTTTTAGAGGCTTGTTTCCAGATCTATTCGTTGATGAGTCAAGTTAATGGAAAAGAGTTGAGCAATTTCTGTTCATAGATTATTCCTCCCATTTTTCCATGTTTAAACTATTCATTTTTCCTGACTCAAATGACGTTCTTCTCGTTCTCTGAGTTGAAAATTTTAATATAGGTTGTTGATGATGTTAAAGAAAGTAGTGCATATTATCGTGGAAACGCGGTACAGGTATTTTGATGCAAGTTCCGGGTGTGATCTTGCATTCCTACGATTTTGTTTTTTTCCTATGAGTTAATCGATATTCATTGCTGTAGTTTATTCAAATTTTCGCAAGCACCAGCGGAAGGAAGATTTAATTATGGGATTCTTTGTGGAAGAGCTCTTGTATATTGCATTTTGTTGGAGTTTTATCCCGGTTTGGATTGTTTTTTGTCGGTGAACGGAGTTTTTCGCATGTTTTCATGATACATCCGAGTACGTTTCGCCGTATTGATGTTCAATTTTGTGCCGCACTTCAGGGTCGGAAGAGGACCAAGAAGCGACTGACATGTTGGTCCACAACGCACAAAATCTGATGCAATCCGTGAAGGAAACCGTTCGAGCTGCCGAAGCAGCTTCCATCAAAATCCGCACTGATGCCGGAATCAGGTTGCGCTGGATTCGCAAAGATCCGTGGTATCACTATTGAAAAAATTGCAGTCAAGAAATTTGAGAGGAAAAACCGAAGGAAAGAAAAAGAACTGCAACGGAAAACTGCCTTGTTACGAAGCGTAGGGTGTTCCGCTGAAAAGATGCATCAACATTGTCCTGTTTTGTTTCCTTTGAACCAAAAAAAACGGGAGCATGTAATATTTCTCAAGTTTTTCTGGTAATTAATTTTCCCATCGTATCTGTGCAAACTTCGAAATTTCACTCAAATTTTATAATTTTTTCCTCCATTTGTGCTGATAATCGAAATCGAAAAACTTTTCAATGCATTGATCCGTTCGATGAATTTTGTCGCTTGGTCCATTTTTCTGTCATGACTGTTTGCAAAAGTGTGGATAGATTTCAGTCGAAGTCGAAATTTTATTTGAGTTCCGATCCGAATCGTCCAAATTTTCTTCTGCTTAGGGACAGTCGAGTACGGAAGTGAATTTGGCCCTTGCAGAAAATTGTGGAGTACACTGAATAAATTTCGAATAATTTTTTTGCACTGCAAACCATCTCGACGCATTCACGAATACTGTACAGTTGTCAAAAGTCTCAAAACAGATTGCTGCATATGCCTCCCAAAATTTGAGAAATTTTCACTGCGGGCTGAATTCGTTTGCGCTCTGAATTTTTTGAATTCGAACTATTTTAGTTAGTTAGTTCTGCATTTTGAGGGAAATCTGAGGGGTTGCTGGGAAAAAATTAGGAAATTCTTCTTGTATGCGACTGAAGTTTCGAAGGAATCGATTCGGGATTTAAATATCCGAATATCGGGATGTTTCTTTTTCAGTGGAATCTCCGTGCGTATTGCGAATCTATTTTAACCCCTTCCATATATTGTGAAGTTGTAACTTAAACGTTTCAGCCTTGCCATATTCCTTCAATGATCCAAAATTGCTTGTGTTCAATTCGAAGAAAGAGAAAAAAGAAATTTCATCTTCCTCGCGAGTTGTTCGATCGCGTTACGTGGTCGAAGTTAACTTATCTAACTTGAATGTATTACGGAAAAAGAAGGGAGAAATCTTAGGGCGGGTAACCAAGAAATTGTAACTTGTTGCGTGCGCTTTCAAAAAGCTGTTTTGTCTTCTACGATGCTTTAGAAGAGTGTAGCATTTGTTATACTGTTTCATTGTTTTTTTTTTTTTTGAAAACTGACAGAGGATATTGTAAATGGGGAGAGAAAGAATAGTTATACTCCTTTTACCTGCGAGGAAATTTCCGGGTCAGATTTTCAGTATTTTGCGAAAACTGAGACATGCGGTTTCGTGTGGTGCGGTTTTTTCGTATTATTGATGTTTTGTGCACGTCAAGGTTGTTGTTCAACAGCTTTTCTTTGGTTATGCGAAAGCCGAATCTTATAACAACAACCAAAAGAAAAGACACGGCTGCGCCATTTAAGAATATTTTGTACAACTTCTCAGTGAAGTTTCTTCTTTCCCTTTCTAACCGTTTACCTAATCTACCGACAGTAAATGATTTTATTTACCTCTTCGTTCCCAGAAAGCAGAAAGAGAGTTTTTTACCCCTGAACTTCCAGATAGTTCTTCGAACTTCGTAAGGTAGATTTCGCTGACGTGCGGTTAAATTTCACTTACTGACCGTGTACATCGTTTTCTATGCACTGCAGCCCATCATGTGAAGTGAGAGAAAACGCAGTTCGGGTTAGATTCTGTCCCAAATGGCTGACGTTCTACTGTAGTATACCGTACAGTACCTTTTTGGATGATTCTACATCTTGGTAATTCAATGCAGAAACGACATCTACCATAAGTCCCGAAAAGTGTTCTGTGAGTATCTACCGAGATCATAGTGGCAATATTGAACTTGGCCCCAGTCGTATGATTCGAGGTTTCTACTGATTGTATGAAAAGCTGGTTACTCGATCGAGAGAGCAAAACAAAAAATCACGCGAAAGTGTGTTACATGGGTTGTACATGCGTTCCAGACCTGTTGAAATCTTGTTGGTTTCGCCTTCGATGTAATGTATTTGAAATCCCTGAAACTGTCCAATCAGAAAATTGAACCAGAATAATATTCGCGTCGGGTTCGTGCGAATTTTCTTTTGTGAAGAAACGAATCATCTACCGCCTGAGCCCTGTTTCTTTTGGTGTGCCCAACCACATGGTGCTACAACGAGTGTGCCTGCGTTTGTTTGTTACCCAGAGCCTTTCAGGAGTTTGTGAGACAGAGGTTTCTGCGTTGCCATTTTGTCGCGTAACTCGTTTTAATTCATGCCTGTTGACGGTACTGAGCCATTGGTAAAAAAGAAAAAAGAAGAAGAAATCCGTGTGCGTTGGACGTGCGAGTGATTTGTTTGCTGGAGAGAAGAAACAGTGCTTGCTTCTGGATGGAAGGCGGATGGAGAAAGGAACAGTTGGAGAAGAGTTACAGTTTAACTTTTTGTAAGCAATTCATGGAGTGCTTGTTTCACTTTTTGTGAGTGCTCTGATGTGGCGGAGCGGCATTGATCTTTCATCTTAATAAAGGAGTGGGAAAACTTGAAAAAAATGCGTCAATTGATTTTTTTTAATTCCGCGAAATTCCTGATTGCAAGCAGTTGTTATCTCACTGTTTATCTCATTTGACTTCATGCCCTGCTTTTATTCATTAAACAGTTGACCCTCACTAAAATTTTGGCGTTTTGCTATTTTGTAATGCGAAAAAGTGATGTACATGAAAAATTCGCACAGAAATCATCACATCTGAGCAAACGTTGTCCTGTACGCACTACCGTATTTTAGATGTAGGAAACAATTCCCTGCGTCCTATGAGACGCAGGGTACCGAAGGAAATTTGATGCACACAAAAGTGCGCATCACGTGATCACCGGGAATTCCGGTGATCATGTGATAATCAGCACAGCACTCTC